ATGTATTTCAGAGGCTCTTTTTGTTATATTGAATGAAATTCTCTTTACATCCTGACAGCAGTCAAAAAATTAGAAGGGGACTCTATGTAATGGGGAGTATACATTATTTAAATATACTTTAATGTTTCCATTTATAAAAAAAGCTATAAAAATGAGAGTATCAGTCAGGCTTTAATTAAGTTTCTGATATAACATCCTCAGATATGTGTGAAATGATTTTTGTAAATCAAAACTAGTGAGACATTCTGAGTTAAATAGAAATTTCAAAACGGCCACCGTGTGAATAAAGTGAAAATCAGTGGTTTCCTTCGATCCTGCAGCCACTGTCAGTAAAGGCCAGTTTAACTGCACATTTCCAAACGCTCCCATCTTTACTTCCTGCTTAACCGTCTTCGTCACAACACAGTTCACACACACCATGTGAGGAAAACACACTGACGCTCTCCTCACTATGTCGGAAGGTGTTCTGTGTGTTTAACATGTCCACTAGTTGTGGAGGTGAATTATGATCCAGCTATCATTGTTGAAAAAGCGATGTGTTTTCAGGAACATTAGTTTGAGGCAGACTAAACACACACATTGGCCTGCTGTATACACGCACAGACGACTATAAGTCATTTGAAGTGGTGGGCACTACTGGCCTGCACGCCTCTCATTTAAACAGCAGCAGAAATAAACACGCTGTAATTATTAAAGGTAGAATGGGACTGGGTAATATATCCACAGATGTGTATCAAGATTGGCACAGGGAGAAATTCATGACTTCACCAGCGTGCATTCACAGATGACTGAGAGAACTTGAATGAAGCCTCTTTATGTTTAAAAATAATAATAGTTTCCATCTCAGTTTGGAGTTAAACACAAAGTCTCAGCTGATGTTAAATGTGAGAGCTTTGTGGTTTATTTTTATAATTTTATAATTTATTCAATTTCTAATTGAATTGAATTGAAAATTGAATTATTTGTAGTGACCCAACGGGTGTACAAACAATCTTTGAAGACATAAACTCATAGTGGAGTGAACTTTTTGGTGAAAACAAGTAAAATGAATAAACTAAAAACCCTGAGGATAATCAGACTTACAAGAAGTTTTCTTTCAGGATCCAAACTGCATTTTCAGGCTGTACTGGTCAAGAATCTTTCCTCTGAATATGAAAGACTGAAAGCAGCTCTCCCCCTGCTGGACAAACAAATCACTATGGCTCTTATGCGATTGTTAAGTTTATCAGCCAACAGCCCGAGAAGCAGTGATGAAGGAGGAAAAAAAACCCCCACCACAAACATTCAGTGGAAAGCTTCGATAGTGGGGACAATTTCTATGCAAAATGACAAACAAGCATGTGTGTATGAAGTCACTTACACATTACCTGCCTGTGGGACATTTGTACAGTTTTTTGTGGTTCCTCAAACAACAGATAAACACAAAGAAGTGGAAGAGAGAGACTCTTTTCATTATTAAACAAGCAAAACATAACAGTCTGATTCTGTTAACAGACCAGAACAGAACAGAAGTGTACAATGGCTGCTCATGAATTACTGCTTAGCTCTTGAAAAACTAATTTGTGGTGAAGAGGAAATGCTCAGCCTTTGAGAGGACTCTGGACTCTTTTATGGCCTTTGTGAAAGTGGGAGAAATTGTATTTCAATTATTTTGTGTGATTGTGTATTAACACTTTTATTGTCTTTATTCCTTCAGGAAGCTAAAATGTAAATATAAATAGATGTGATGTTTGAGTGGGTCTTGTGTGAAGAAACTTCAGGTTTTTAATTAATATTTGAAAGAAATAAATGACTGTAAAAAGAAATTAGCCCTGGAGAGCAAAACAATTTTCATTTTCTTCACAAATGAATTCCTGTAATGAAGACAAATGAGGCAAAGTGGTTGAAATTAAACATCGAAACAAAGCAAATAATAATTAAAAGAAAGAATCAAATTTCAGAGATGAGTCCTCAGTCCATATGTATTGAAGTTCTTACAGGTAGAATATACAGTACATGTATACTGGTATATAGACAGGCAATATAAAATGGGCTAAAATTACCTAAGGATACAAACAACAGCATATACAAAAGCTTATTTAATGATTCAAGTACCACTAACTTTTATACTTCACTTCTCTGGAGAATTCAAAAGCATCTGTACAAAATGTACAAGAATTGTATCCCATGTTTCAGTGGCTAAATGCTTCCTCTGTGCTTCATATCATACCTTACTACATACTGGTAATGCAAAGAGAAGTGAAGATTTTACAGTTTAAGGCAAAAATCACAGATCCTACAGTACAGTACATGACCTCTATTATGAAATTTGCAGATTTCATTTCAGTGAATTCGCCTGTAACAAAAAATGTTTCTTTAACAACTCAACACATGAAATGAAAATGTACGTCATTTCTTTAACACTTTATTTTACAGGTCCGTAATTTAAAAAATAATTTGCTATTTATTCATTGTTTTTTAGCAATAGCCATTCAATGTATTAAGAATGAGTAATTATCTCTATATATAGTAGTTTGCATTGTTTGTGGCAGGGTCCACCACTCACACATCATTTTTTTAACCGCCCAACGACGCACAATGGATTCACAGGTAATGGTGCATAGGTGTAATCCAATGTTACTATTTAGGAATTTTAAAATAATTGACGTCGAAAGCATCTGTAAAACAAGACAATGGCAATTTTTGTTCGTTTTTTCTAATCAGCGGATGAGATAAATATGTCAGTGAGTAATGGAAGTAAAAGCAGCCGCAGTGAGCTGCAGTTCAGTTTCACAGTTGTTTCCAGGAAGCTTCCCATGTAATTGTTATTGTTATTACAAACCTGTAAAATACAGTGTTACTGTTACTGGTATTTCTAGTTTCAACAGGAATAAAATGGCCTCTTTTCAATACCAGTCCAAACTAATGTAGAACTTTCTAAGCCTACATCTCAACTTTTTAATGTCGTATCAGCATGAGACTAAATCTGCAAATTAATCATAATCTCACCACGACTGAAGCTATTTTAATTCCATAAAATTACAACACTGATGGGCTGATTGCCTCACTGACACGTACTGCAGGTACTGGTGTGGTGACAACGTGGAAAATTGAAATCATTCAGAGGAACGTGTGGAAAAATAACTAGCATTTAAAAATCACAAACGCCTATCTATGTAACATTACAGGCGAACCAATCACATGTTCACTTCTATAATCACTGTACATTGTTTAACATGTCAAAGTCTTACCATCAAAACTGGTAAACATCAGTGGCGATTTAAGACAAATGGATTTGTGCAAAGAAGTAAAAGCATATTGCGAGTTAACTAAAGCAACATAAAAAAAAAAAAAAAAGATCCTGTAGCATTTGTTCATGCTCAAAAAGAAAATCCTATTGAAAAAAGGAAGCACTTAAAAATTGAAATTGAGTATTAAACAGTCTGTCATGCACTTAACTGCTCATCAACTCTGATGCAGCACACTTTTTTTATTTATTATATTTAAAAAAAAAAGAAGAAATTGTCTTTGAATTTCTTCTGTCAGAAAGTGTGAAATAAAAGATTCAACTTGGCCAAAATAAAAAGACAGCCTGGAAGGCAGCTCTACATTCAGACCAACATCAATTATTTGATTTTTGTTTGTAAATCATTTCAAAGACAAAACACTGTACCATTCAGTTATTGTAATAGCTCCTACTGGAAAGTACAGTTTTTCTTTTTTTTTTTTTTTTTTTTTTTAAAAAGTGAGGTTTGCTGTTCACAGAAGTTCCCCTTCACTTGAGTAAAATGCCTTCAGTTTCACAAGTCACAAGAATACAAATCGCTGAAAGGGAGCTACGGCCACGTTAGATATGATGACATCCAGTCCAGCTGTGGCAGCACTAACCGGCATTAACGCTCAATGACGCTGAAGGGAAAGTGGACAGCGTATTTCCAGACATCGCTTTGTCTCCCCGGGTCGAGCAGACAGTGTCTCTGAGTGCTGAGTGGACGGCGTTGCATGTTGCGTCAAGGCTTTTGCTGATCGTACTGCTGGTAGCGGTTCAGCTTGTCCGGGTCGTTGGAAGCCATGTGGGTGAAATCCTGGAAAATGTCCTGGTAGGTTTCATCTCCTGCAAGAGGAGCAAGGACACGCAACATCAACAACAGCAAAAAAATAAATGATAAAGTCAGACACAGAAATGGTTCCTAACATCTGTTACACAGAATCATTTTTGTTTTTTTTCCTTTATAAATCTCTGAACACTTTTATCTTTTCAGGCCTGCAAAAATCATTCTAATTCAACAATCGTATGTAATGACAAGTAGATCATTTCTTCCTTATGAATGATGAATGAAAAGTAGGAAACCACTCAGATAGAGAACAGGGCTACATGATTTAACCCATAAAGTTTATCTCCTGCTGTGAACAGGAGCATTATCATTGAATAACACATTACAAGTGTCATTTTTCTTACTAAAATTTAAACTTCTGACCTTTAAAAACAAGAAAAAAAAACTGTTGGGATTTGTCAGGCAGGGCAGTATGTTTTGATATTAATGCACTTTGTGGCACTGGGGGTAAGAAAAGGTAAAATGTGGGTATAATTGAAGGATCTTTAAAAAGAAACAACACAATTCCCCTTTAAAACAGTTGATAAGGATTCAGGGTTTTACTGGTCTGAGCTGTTTCCCTTCTCAACAGATCAACTTGCTGCTAATAAGTTCAATAGAAAATTCCTCAAGTTGAAATCATAAACGCCTCATCATGCAGGCGTACAGCAGGGTAAAATGTCTGCAGAGCGGAGGGGTCATGCACAGTGACAGTATCATCAGAACAAGAGTGAAAGGAAAAGTCGGCCATACCTGTCAGAGAGTCAGCGTGGCTCGAAATATGAAACAGAACAACGCAGAGGCAGAAATGATGGGAAAGAACAGAAGAAGCAAAAGGAAAATGTTCGAGAAAAGCGGCCGGAGAGCCTTTTTTCGTTAGCAACTGGAGATCGACTCGGAAAGAAAAGACAAGCCCACAGAGATTCATTTTTGTTAACAACTGTATTGTGTTTAAAGTGCAGGAGTTTATGTACAAAAATACAGCTGTGTTGGCCTCAGCACCCCAAAGAAAGAAAAAAAAAGAGAACAGAAGAAAGGCACAAACTCTGGGGAGGAGAGTGAGAAAAGAAAAGCAAAATACAGAACCGAGAGAGTGAATTTACAGAGAGAGAAGAGGATGAGAGCAATAAGAAAAGTGTGTTTTAGAAGAGAGGGGGAGCCTCCTTATACACCAGAGCAGCAGTTCTCAATCTGTTCGAGTTTTAAGTGTCGATTTTCCCTTTTCAGATACATTTTTATAAGACTACAGCAGACAAATATTGATGAATGAAAACTATTAAAAGAATCAACATTATGTTTTTTTAAAAATATATATATACTTCCCTCTGGGTTTCATAAATCAATGTTTTAATGCTCACATAAATCACACAGAAACCCACAAGCTGAGAACCGCCGCTCTGCACTTCGTCTACACACTCAATCAGGTAGAAACACTTGAGTCGAGGGAGCTGTAATTTTAATAAAAAAGGAGGAGGGAGGATTGATGAGGTTAGCTCTCCCTCACATTCATCACCCCTGAATATCCCTCATCAGTCCCATCATTCATCAACTGATTGGAGGCGCTGATGAAGAGGCTGTTGGGTATCAAACAGGACGGCGTGAGGATCTTTCAGCGACTGGAAGCTCACACTTCAGACTCTACTCTAACCCCTTCTGCTAAAAACAAACCTCCTTCTGTCCCTCTCGTGATGCTAGTGTGCCTGCTGTTGACCTTTAAGGGAACGACAGCAAGCAGTAGCTTTCTGTACCATTCCCTATCAACAAGCATTGCACACACTAAAGAAAATAAAGAAGAAAAAAAGAAGAATTCGGTTTCATTCTTTGTCTTTCAGGTCCAAAACATTCCCTACTAAAAAGCAGCATTCAGGCTAATAACAGTCTGGCTACCTAAAGCGGCACATCTAGCCCTCGCTATAAGATGCTTTATTCTTCTAGAACAAACGGACAACGTTTCTGAGCGTAGCACTCCCTCCTGTGGTCAACCACAGAAATGCACAAGTCCCTTTTCCCTACAGTCTAAGAGGGCTTAAAGAAAGCTCAGCATCTACTCTACAGGACACAAGAACGTCATTTACCTGTGAACACAATCACAACACAATCAGTAATCCTTATTCTAACTACTTCCCCACACTAGTCAGCCGTTCAAAACCTCACTTATTGTTCTGCCAGCACCGGGGCGTAAAACAGCAGAGCTCTATCAATGTCAATTAGCAGAAAGGAGCATTTAATCAAAGTGCTTTGGTGGGATTTGGGGCTGCGTGGAGGGAAGATGTGGGAAGAAACTGGGGTACATTTCCATTATTCATTCACTATCAATAAAGTGAGCTTTGCACTCATCTGTAGCCTCAGTCTTATTGAATATCTACTTTTTTTTTGTAAAGCTCCCATATGATTGAGATAAATATAAGCTAGGACCAGCAGGTGATAAAAATCTACATGGTTACATGTGGATAGCTTTCTAGACTATTGCACTTGCTTGACGATGTACCATCTTCAAATGGTTTGTCTATATTTGAGTAAAAACCCACTAAGATCCGATACAATCAATGTGATGGCACTAAAAGGCCTACATCATCTTACAATTCAAGATTTCCCGTGAGTACGGGCAATGGGCAAGCACACTTAAATCGACTAATAAACCAAGACACAATATCGTCATAACAGGAAGTAAACACCACACAATCGAAAACAAAAAGCAAGGATGTGAACACAGAGCCCTCATGGCACTCACCTCTGTGCAACTTTTAAATTTACAACATGTACATGTACAGTAAGTATACTTATTATCCGATTCCTAGAATCATCTTTATAAAAGAAAACTGTCCTCTAAAATACTTTTTGTTTTTCTGACCAGGCATGTCACAACATCAAGATGCATTATGTTTTTGACAACAAACAGTTCAAATAAGTAAACAGGCCTTGAAAATGGTTAAGACTTTAAATGGGAACCATACAATCGCAGGAAAACAGGTACAGTAGTTGCATAACCATTAATAGGAATGTGCATAAATGAGTTCTGACTTCAGCTAAATTTAAAATGAAACTTGGCGATTTATAAACACAGCCTACGCCTCTCCATACTGATGATAAAAAATGTCATTCAAAAGTCAGGATTATTGCCAGATAGTGAAAACTGCCGTCACTTTGAGGTCACTGGATACTGGTGGCAGTTACTGGATAGCTAGTTTATTTTTTGCAAAGATACTGTGACTTATAGCAGATATACCATACTAACTAAAAAATTAAAATTATTTTAGCCCAAAAACTAATTTCTCATTAACTGCTATAAATCACTGAACGCCTCTAAAATGGAGGGAATCAGCAAAACGTGGTGTAATTTGTTAACTAGGGAGGAAGACTATGTAGTAAAAAGTGACTACTGTTTCCTTTAATTGTGCTATAATCAATAATATCAATAATTATACATCGTTAACAGTCACTTAATTGAAAATGTGGATGTTCCACTTTGGAACAAAACTCTTCAGTAATGTCCAGAGTCGATGGCTTTAACCCTGTCACATTGATACAGACTAGCACCTGACGTTACAACACACCAAGGTGCAGCTGGCAGGAGCTGCGAGGTAAAGATGGTGGTTTTACTCATAGTACAGCAGGACACAGGAGCACATCTGACAGAGTTGGGCTTAGTTCACTCAGTCTCACTCAAGTGGAGCAAATGTCCAATAACCTGAAGGTCTTCAAGTTGTAATCAAGCGAGAATGAATTGTCTGGGTTATGATGTGTTCGCCTGTTAATTTGCAGTTTTTCAGTCAACTGACCCCAACTCTGAAACCTGGGCTTTACATTTCCTCTGATGTGCCTTGTTGTATAGTATGTTGTCGGTGTGTTTTACTGAGAGTGGACACTAAGTTTCATCCAGCTGCAGGCTAATAAACTCCTGCATGCACTTCCTGTACTGCATCTCGGTGGGGCTGTTGGTGTTATATTGACCTGACTGGCTGTAGGGCCCCTCCGCCTCTCGCATCTCCTCGTTCATCTTGGCCAGTCGCAACCTGGGGAGCAGATTGGGAAACAAGGACGTGACAAATTAGCCATAGATAAGAGATACAGTAGGTTTACGGCACACTCACAGGCCACAGTGTTACATCAACTCTGTACGCTGATTAAGTAGTGACACCTTGTGGAAAAAGTTGGTACAGCTTGTTTAATACAATTTACCCATTTTTTAAGCTGGTAATAAAATCATAAAAGGCCCAAAAATGTGCCTTTTGTAAATCAGCTGTATAATGATAATAATTTAATTAATTAATAAAATAATTAATAATTTTCTCTTTTCAGAAGCTGTTACAATAAATAATAATTATAACTTTCCAAACCAATGGCATTTTCTAACTTGCTTAACAAAACATCGCTATCGGTGATCAGTGTTTTCAAATGGTTCAATGTAGATAATAAATCAGATAATAGATGTGCTGGGTGGCTGTGTTTAACTCACAATATTAATACTAACAATCACGGTAAGAATAACACTCACAGTGTGACGATATCTGCGTTGGCGGCATCCACTGCTATTGTCAAGGGTGTTTTTTCATCAATGTCTGCAGCATTTTGATTTGCTCCCCTTTTTAAGAATAAACACACTTGCCTGAAACAGACAGAGAAGTTTGTCAGATCTGGGATGCATCACACTCTTCAAAACGCACTCAATCAATATTCTCTGAGTTTGGTGACGTAATATTAATGAGATATGTAAGACGAACCCTGTGTGTCCCAGCATGGTGGCGTGGTGGAGGGGTCCTCGGCCCTGAGCGTCCTGCTGGTTCACATTAGCTGCATTCTGGAGCAGAAACTCGCAGGTGACCAGCGAACCCTGAAATTAACCATTAATGTGAGATGTTATATACATTTCCAGTTACAAAACACACAAGATAAACTGTAAAACAATAAGTGTTATTATTATCTTAACATCAGGTGTTCTGTTGGCACATATTTGGCTGAAATTAATTCCAACTTGTCCAAATTTTCTTGACAGGTCTTTCAAACTATCCCTTCAGTATAGTAAATGGTTCTGAGCTGATCTGTAGCGTAGCTCACCCCCTGCACCGCCATGATGAGCGGCGTCCTCTTATCATCCTCTGTGTTGACCCAGTTGACCTCGGCTCCGTGGGCCAGCGCCTCCGCCATGTCTGGCAGGCTGCGGGCGCATGAGGCCCAGTATAGCTGCAGACCTGGGCTGTACTCCTTAGGCTCGTAGAAAACCACCTCCTTACAGGGCGACGGAGGAGGCAGCGTGGCAGGCATGGCCATGGGCGGAGGCTCGGCAGCCTCTGAAGAATTGGAGAGAAGAGATGTGAGTGAAATGGGTGGAAACATTAAATAACAACTAACCACTTGCCATTTAAACCTCAGACATTTTTCCTCAACAATAATTAGGTAAAATTAACTCCTTAACAACTGTCCTGTAATTCATTTTTAGTCAATTGGGTTTATGTATTAGTGTTATTATGTGCAGGTAGCTTGTAACTACACGCTGGTATGATGACATCTCTGTTAATCTTAACACTTGCAACACTTATTATGATTATGTGTTAAGTCAAACTGCATTAAGCACCTGTGGCTCTTTAACTTGCCATTTCTTCTTTCTTTTGCCCAATAACTTGCCTAATACGGTGTTAGCTTTAGATTTAAACAAGCAGGTCTATGTAATGAGAGAAGTGTGTGAGGGTATGTGTTTGTGTCTCACCTGCATCGGCGAGGCTGTTATTGGAGGGGGTGTTGGCCAGCATCTCCCTGCTCCCTTCAGAGCTGTTCTGGATGCCGCTGTCCGCACTTTTTACTGTAAATCAACGTCTGAATTACTACTTGTGGAAAAACGCACAGAGGTCATTCACTGAGCGTATAAAATAAAAGGAACACCTTCCTGCTGACTGTTTTGGTGGCGGAAAGCAAAAATATTTTGGCAGATCATAACACACAGCCCCCTTCTGTAGCCCATCAGAAGCCTTTTGATAAATGTGTTTTCTGTAAGTAAACAATGTTCGAACATTTGACGAGTGCTAATTTTTTTCCCAGTGAGATTACACAAGAAAACAGCAGGTGGTCCTCATATTTTGTACAGTTAGTCCCCAGCTGAAATCAACAGAAACAGAACTGGATGACAGATCCCCACCATCACCTTATGTTTCACTTCCCTAAATACCAAGAAAATGATGAGACACATACCAGACATTGACCAAAACCATGTGACAGAAACACTCCCCACCCCCGGCAAAAACAACATGGTACGCTCTGCAATGCTCTTAACATGACGGGATGGGTCCATTAGAAAGGTCTGGATGAGGGAGGAATAAAGGAGTGGATGAAGGGGTTGTCAGTCCACAGCCCCAAAGCAGTGAATACAAATGGAAAGAGGGGATGGAGAAGCAAGCGAAACACTAAGCATTTAGTACTTACTGCTCCTGAGCTTGGAGGAGTTGTCAAAGTAGGAGAAGAGCGAGTCAAGCTCGTCAGGACAGAAGAGAGAGTCGCGGCGGGCCTCCAAGCCGCTGGCAACAGCTACGTTAGGGATAATGGGAGTTCGGAGGGCGTAAATTGAGTGGCAGGGTGGGGAGTTTTAGGGTAGGCGGTGGGAGCAGAGGTTAATCCAGAAGCACAGAACAGCCAGGGGAGGATAGAAAGAGAGAGAATGTGAACAAGAGATTGAGGAAGAGGAGAGAGAGGAAAGCAGGGTGAAAGCAGAGATAGTTAGACTACCAGCTCAGTCGACACTGGAAGAGACAGATTACGAGAAGCAATGGGAGGCAAAGAGGGCTTAGACATATGCTGTTCGCAGAGAACATACAGTATGCCGATGGGTGGACACTTCTCCACAACAGTGCAACTATCACACAAATCATCATAAAGAAAAGGTGGCCACAATCACAGATGACACTGGCTCTAAAAGTTCTGTTTCTGAGGTTGGACGACAGAAAAATCCAAACCTCTGAAATTCTATTGTATTTGTTTTGTAACCAGGTAACTTAAAATTGGAAGTTTATAAAACAATGCTGATCAAATTCATCCAGCTAAAATTCACTTTTTAGTGGTTAACTTTTGTGTGATCGCCGACATAATGCAGGTCAGGATCAGCACCTCTGATTGAGTTTTATTGTCAGTTTTATTTTGTGAATCATGTTATTCATTAAGTTCAGAGATGAGGGAAAGGTTACAGAAAACACAAACTCTTATGTTGAAGGTGTATTACGTTTGTTCATTTTTCTACTGACCGGACTGTCCGGAGGCGTTTGAACCAGGTCGGAGTTTTGGGGTGGGTGGTGGCGGTCTTGGGGGCAGATGTTCAGAACTGCTGCTCAGCCTCTTCTCCTGTTTGCTCAGAGAAACCACTTTATCGCGGAGCTCCTCGTCAGACGGCCGGCGTACAAACCGGCGGTCCACGTATTTGGCTTTGATGTAGGCCTCTACCTCGTGTCTGTTAGGAACAGGAAGCATAGGGTTTTGTTCGTGAATAATATGAGGAATTTGAGCTGTCTGCTGGTAAATTACTACAGTTTATCTACTCAAACCAAGCTGAATTTGATGTATGTGTGTGTTTAATTTACTAGGCCAAAGTCACATTTTTTATACACTAAGACTAAAATGCCTCTTAAAAATTAATTGAGAAATTAATTAAGGGAGAAAATAAGCATTTATATATTTATATATATTTATTATTTATAGATCTTTTGGTCTTTTCTACCTTGGATCTCCTGGCTGGGGTTTTCTGGATCCTAGCTCCTCTCGCCGAGCCTCATAGATCTGGTTGATCGCTCCATTTCCCAGTTCACACATCAACTGTGAAAGGTGTACAAAAACGTTAGCAATACAAAACACACATGGATAATCAACCAGGACGTGGAGCGTATAACTCAGCTACAGTGATTGTAAAGCATATACGAAAACAGATAAAGAGAAAATAAATGTGTGTGCAATAAAAATAAATTAAAAGTAATTCATGGATTATCAGCACTTGATTAAAGCTTTCTGAGTTTACACTGGATGTTCATGTACATTCGTTTTTCCTCACTCACCTTTAGTAGTTCGGGCTCCCATGTATCCAAAGTCAAAGACCGGACCTTAGAGAAATGCACTCCCAGACTCCTGCAGATGAACGAAGCATTAAAAAATGGACAATGACATTCGTCATTATGTTTTTTTTTGTAAAAGGGATAAAGTCTAAATGCTGGAAAGTCTTTATACTTTTCAACACTTTTGAGTGTAGTTCAGGATTTATCCACAAGGTGAAAATTGGGGTCTGCGGATTGATGGGCATTAATTCATTATGTCATTGATAACAAACCCCTGTATGTAGAGAACCTAGTTTTCAGATAAACATGCAGTACTCTGACTGCTCTATGCCTTTGTTTGTAATATATGAAGACAATTTCCATAATTGAAACTCTTAAATTTCCAAATCCACTCTCGTTAGGAAATCACAATAAAGACTTAAGATATTTTAGTTTTTAGCCTGAATGATAATTAAATATTTTACTCTGGACAGACATTAAAATGTCATCACAACATGCAGGCTCGGTGTTCATTACAGTGAGTTTACATTTAATTAAATCCCTAAACACCAACATTTTGTATACTCATAAGCATTAACACTATGGCCCCTGATGGAAAAGATTTTCCATAACTAAGTCAACATACAACGGCCACTTTTCATTCTTTCCAGTTTCCACCAAACCAAAATGAACTAAAAATGAACTGTATGCCTGCAGCAGCGGTAGATAAATAAATCAAATGTGCTGATATTAGTTCCTGCTGTTTATTATTTTCTCTCAGATCGCCTTTCTGGAATAAATTTTCATAGCACTTGAATGTATAAGTTGGTTATTTAAGAATTTAATGACTTTGTATCATCCTTTGTCATTATCTGTTTCTTTTAGTTTGATATTTTATTTTTCTATCACCTCTATGGCGATTGCCATGTGTCTAGCTTTTTGTAATCTCAACATTAAAAGACCTATTAAAAGCATTTGGTTAACAAAACCGTAGGACTTTACCTGTGGATACCAGAGCACTGTATACAGAGGGTGATGCCCAGATTGATGCTGGCCCAGCGGGGGTCTGGCTGGCCACAGTCGCAGCAGCAGGCGTTGCCTGGGATGGCCAGGACCTTCTGCAGGGCACTCTCTCCTTTCAGTGATCTCTCCTTCGGTTCGCCACCAGAGTCCAGGCTCCCTGTCGACGTGGACGACTTCCTATCCAGCTTCTGGCGTGAGAGAGACAAGAATACACAGACGTCCAGAAGGATGGTTAACATTTATTAAGATGGGATAGAGCACAGAGGATGAAATTTAATTAAATGTAACTTTATCCCTGTGGTGTGATTGGGACAAACACTAACAGCCTACACAAAGAAAAACTGAATGTAAAGAGTATAGGAAACTGGTGTTATATACATAAACACAGGTTCATTAAACTCTTTATTGATTCATCTATCTAATGTATATGTGAGTCTCTTCAACAATCCACTCAGTATCAGTGTGTTTGGTTTTTACCTCGCCGTCATCTCCCTTGTCACGGAAGGCGGTGGCGATGCTGTTCTGGACGGCTTTGATCCAGGCCTGTCGCAGCTTCTCTGAGTCTGCCTGCATCATACAGCTCCTGTTGGGACACACAAGCATCACACAACTGCTGTGTGTGTGTGTGTGTGTGTGTGTGTGTGGATACACTGCTACTCCGCCTTCCCACCTTTAGTAACATATTCCAGTGCTCATTAGACTGATTAGGAGAGATATTTCAGTGAGTCAAACTTACTTTGTGGGTGATACCACTTCGAAACAAAAGCGACGCTCTATGTCCTCACAGTGTTTGACTGTACATAGTCTCAGGTCCTCCACCACCACTGTAGGGTTGTCCTGAGGGGACAGCACAGCAGCTTTGGTTAAACACAATACACAGACACACACACACACAGACACACAATTTGCTAATGTTTTTATCAAGCAGGCAGTGACAAGGTCAACTTTGGTGACTATACCATGGGTTGGTGTGGTTGTCCCCTGCTCTCAGGGTGTAGACAAAAATGCAAAAATCATAACACGCCGTGAAACAGCAAATCTATGCAGCAGCTTTGCATAGATACATTTTCCATAGACACTTTTTGCAATGGCAAAATGTGTGGAAAACATCAAAGTCAAAAATATTTGGCTTAGAAATACGACTTTCTTTCTTCTTTAGTATTACACAATGCAAATGAATGTGTATATCTTCACTGGATGATAAATGTAAACTAAAAAGAAATAGAGCATAATGTGACTTTCCCAGTATAATGCTGTTTACATCTACAACAACTACACATCAATACATCTTCACATACAGCTGTGGTTCATCCTACGCTAAATGTCTGTTTGTGTTGACTACTACAGCCCTTAAATGAAGCTACAGCCTCCTGTTAAAAAATACATTGGATGGTATTTGTGCTGGAAGTCAAACACATGCATATTTGATTGCGGTCAGTGTGCAGGGAGTCACTTGACGTACCTTAAATTTCTTCTGGTAAACTAGCTGATTGTTCTGGATGGAGAACCAACGCCTGAAAGGAGATCACGAGAAAAACAAAGTCACATGCAGGCGCCAGTGATGCTGCTACAATAACACGCTTTGACATAATTTTAGTGTGGATGAGATCGACGGCAATGCCTAGAGAGAGAGCTGATGAGTAGATACATTTATTAACAGGGTCATGTTACTGTATTTAAATACAGTACAACTATGGTATTTTAAAAAGATATATGTACTGAAAAAAGGAAACAATCAGCAGCATTTAGTCAATAAAGGCAGACTCATAAACACTTCATTATTCATTACATCTTTCAAAAACTGGGTTATTTGCCCTGTTTTATTTGTTTTGTTGATATTCACTTCGGAATAAATGTATGAGAAAAGCAATCCCAATGAAAGCCTCATCTGTACATGTTTTATGGAGATTTAGGTTCAGAGGTATAAATACAACTAATATGGTCCAACTTTAAAAGAAACAGCGGTATGACCCTTTCAATCAGTTAAATAATGTACTGTATTAACCTCTTTCTTCTACATCTAACCCAATTATATTCTTGTGACTGTGATAAAAAAGGTACTTGCTGAGTTATCAAAATGCCAAGCACCTTTAATATCTCTGTAAAACATTTTGACGACAGTGCTTGCCCTACTAAATCCACAACCAGCCCACGAGAGCTATTCTTTATCATAAAATTGAATTTTCAATGTATTCACGTGGATGCTAATTGAACTGCGTCTGTCGTACCTATTCCACGTCTTGAAGGCATTGCTGGCCCTCTTAAAGAGATAACCTTCCATGGCGATGCCGTTGTCTGCATCCACATTGTACTCCAGCTTGGTGTCGTCATTTGAGAAGTCCTGAAAAAGAGACAAGAAGAAGATGGAAAGGAAGTGAGAGTGTCAGAAAAAATTAGGAAAGAGCAAAGACAAAGGACAGAGAGGAGAAAAGGTAGAGAAAGAAAACAAACAATTCCAGTGTTAAAATAAAATATTCCACATAATCAGGATTTACAATATTAACCATCTCCTGTGTTCTTTTGGTACTAGTGATTGTGTCCAGTGTCGAGTGACTCTGCATTTTTCCCAAAGTCACAAATTAGGACTATGAGTCTCAGTTGAGCTAAGTGACCTTGTACAAAGCAGCAATGCACAGCTGCTGCTCACACAACACCACCTGAGTGATGTTTTACTCCAAGAACTGAAAAAGACAGAAACAACACTCATAGCTTAAGCTAACAGTGTAATAATCTAGTTTAATTAATTCTGTGTATTGCCTGAGATAGAAGGTCAAATGTAGATCGAACAAAATACTGAAAGACCTCTAATGTGGAGTTACACCACACTTCATTGAGATTTATCTCAAGACTCCAACTGTTCCATCCACCTTTTCCCCTCTGTCTATGAAGGGAAAATTTGAAATTGAAATAGCAAGGAAACATAACATATACCAGGATAATACATAACCAGCTACAAGTTTTGTCGTGGAAACTGAAAAATCCGTTCTTGCCCAGTTCAGGTGAGAGTTGGCAATTAAATACCAGGAGACGCACATCATGTCACGTGTCCATCCCATGATCCTACTCCTCAAATACCTCCACACTTGTACTGCTTTGTGCTACAGATACACAAAAAGAGGTTTCAACCCCCTCCATGCTAAACGCCTTTACAATGGGCAGCTTATATTCAGTAAACAAACAACTTAAACTTGGCTATACATGGTGGCTACATCTGTTCATTAAGCATAAAGCATAAAGCATGTCAACAACAGCAACAGTATAAAAACAAAAACACCATCATTACGAGAAAAACATGTTTATCGGGAAATTTCCCACACAGTACGATTCAGTTTGATTCTGTGTGCAAGAAGCACAAGATGAATTAAATCAAGTAAATGGTTAATGTCTTTAAAAAAAATGGAGGCTACATTAAAATACTGGAAACACAACAACGAATGTTAACTATTATCTAGTTATTTAGCTACATGTAGGTGGTTGGTGAGTTAGTTATTGTCCTCCAAAGAGTACACTTTTAAAGTGAGCTTTCATGCATATTTTGTCTCACCAACGTTGTTGTTGTAACCCAATCTGGTGTGTTGTCATGGGACTGTCCCAGTGGCCGGTCTAGTTTTAACTACCTGAGCTGCTGCCACACTTTCCTGACACCCTCCCAGGTTTCTCAGTACCAAGTGACACACAACACCGTGATGCATGCATGGATGTGTGTGTGTGTGTGTCCTTGTGGAGTCAATTTACACAGCGTGTCACCATCCCCACAACCAATTACAGCTTTAGGTCTGTTACTGTAATGAGCTGTGGCGTCTTCTTCTCTGTTGTCCTTCTAGAAACATCCAGTGTCTTTTTCTGACACATACCAGTCTGATTCACCTTGTCCTCCATTATGAAACCAATTAGCTGTGGTGCTCTGATATAAAAATGTGTATGTCTCCAACAAACTGAAGTGAGTTTAAATATTGAGAGCAGAAGTTTAACTTGGATGAGTGAAATAGCTGTTAAAGACAGAGCTTTTGCGTCCTATTGATATTTTTCTGTCTTTGTTCTAGATTTTCTCTTTACATATTGATATTTTAATAGTTTTATTTTAAATTCTTCCTACAAATAAGATTTTTCTGAGTACGTTGTTGAGGATGAAAGCACTCTCCAATAAAGTGTACTCAAACTAAAATTTACACTAATCTTTACATGGATGCTTTAGAAACTTTTATAGAGACTTTTTATAAAGTGCTCTTGAGCATAGATCAGATCCAACAGCAAGAACAACCTAAAATCAACCCGACTCCCACGATGAAGAGTTCCACCTACAGTGACACTGGACAGCCTCACCTCTCTTAATGTCAATTTACTTCTGGTGCATGTCTGCACATTGTCCATTTGTGGATGCATGTTGTCTCTCATTGCTTTGATCTTTAAATGTAACTTGAGAAAAAGCTTCAGTTAAACCCCTCTGCCCTGTGATACCATGCTGTATCGGATGGATGCACGCGCACACACAGACACAGGCACACACACAGACACACAGAGAAGCAAGTGCAATTTTCCAGCATGACATACACTGGGACAACTGAGGTTATTTTGGGTGCACAAGGGGAACAAATGTGTCTGTACTAAGCTTATAAACACAAAGGCAATGGAAAGTACCAATCAAAACGTTCAACAAATCACCTTTTCCTAGAAGTGGGACTAAATTACCCTTGTAGTGGGGCCACACAATTCTCCCAGTCATCCTAATAACACATTTTTTTAAGCTAAGAATGTATAGTAAAAAAAGTACCACAGATTCATAACTCAGAACCTCAGCAGTGGTATGATGCCTGACTGAATAAGGAAACCACCCATAATTCAGCTTAGGCCTGGGACAACATAACACCAAAACTGACCTCTTTGATGCATGTGTGTGTTCAATCACACATGTACACACACACGCAAGCACAAATATCCATACAAACATAAACAGTCCCTAATTAAGACCGAGGCCAAAGAATGAAACAACACTGTTGCTGTCATGTGAAAGCCTCTGTGGTTCTCTTGTTAGATGGGTCTGATGCTTGGGGCTGGGAAACCATTTTCAACCCTGTCACATACATTTAAAAACAGGTAGTGGTCAAATTATAAGTAAGGAAGCTGTTCTTGGTTCCTGAAACATGTTAGAGATACTAGGGTTTCGCCTGACAACACAGTCACAAAGTGATCAACTGCAAAGTAACAAACACTCACTGACGTCAAACCAGCAACCTTAGTTTACTGTAGCAGACACTGGCACCAACAATGAGGCATCAAACCAAACATGCTGCATAATCAACACAAATGCATGTGGTACACTCTCAAATGAGGAAGCAGACATAGATGCAAACATCTACACAAACACTGCAATGCAGTCTCTTAGCGTGTGCAGGAGAGCAGAGGAGATGAAAGACAGGGGCAGGTAGGGTTACAAACGGAAGTCAGATGGAAATCGATGCAGTGACTCTACGTACAGAGGACGACCTCCAAGCGCAAAAGTTGCGGCAGTCTGGTAAAGAGTGGAGCTCAGTCACCTCCTAAAATGTCACACACAGCAAGAGAACGGCACACAGAGAAAAGAAATGTGTATTTCCTTAAGAAATCATTGATTCATCAAAATTAAAATGACGTATAGACAAGAGAAAACACTCAAGCTAAAGAAGCACAGACATAAACACAGACTATTACTATAAATAGCCATGGGCACAAAGGCAATGTCACGTGCACGGACACACGCACACACACATATACACACACACACACACACACTAACTCAATCTCATCTCTTTTCGGTGCACTCACCAGATACCAAACGTAGTGAAAACGGCTGAAAATCTTCATTTTTCACAGATTTTATGGAGTTTATGTGTGTGTGTGTATTTCTCCCGTGAGGCCGATGAATCTTCGCTATCTCAAAGTCTCCCTGTGTAGCATCTCAATGTGAGTCTGTGACTCTAAACAGCCTGGCCTCACTACAACAAACTCTCACCTCCTCCTCCTCTCCTGTGGCTGTCTGTGTCTATCAAAACTTTCGTCACTGCCTCTGCTGCTGCTCCTCCCCCTGAGGCCTCACGCACTAAGCGAAGGTCACCTGCACGTATGTGTGTGTGTGAGTGTGCGTGTGTGATGCTAGTGTGACTGCTGGGTTAGAATAATCAAGTGGACCATGCAGAGGAGCTCGGGCATCAAACATTTATACTGACTTCAGCTTAATAGACGTGCACTCAGCTTTTCTTCTCACTAGTGAGTATGTAAATAAAGTAGCCAACCCTTTAACCACGCTGAATGTTTATAATGTTTGAGCCTTTAAAATGTGTGCATTTAGTGTGCATGACTGTTAATAGACACTGGCTTATTATCCCAGAAACACAATCACCATTTTAATACCTTAGTCGTTAAAAAAACCCTGACACATATTCTCTTTAAGTCAGCAACCCGTCTCTCGTGTGGCACGATTGTGACATTGTCATGTCATTTTGTGGTTGCAGTGCTGCAGTTGAGTAATGCACACAGGCAGACAGGAGGCATACTAAACATAACCTCAGGACCCCCTTCAACTCTCATGAGGATAGAAGGTTTCATCAGTACAATGAAAATGATAATGGGAAATAGAATGGCTTCATGTGCAAGCACAAATAAAGAGGACAGTATGCACAGGAATGAAAAGACTGTCCTAACAAGGGAAATACGTAAAGATTTTAATGTCAACTGGCTTACAACACATAATAAAATGAAGGGGGCGGATATGGTCACTCATCAATACTAACAATTCCCCATTCACTAATTACATTACAAGACTCTCGCTTTCTGGCTCAAGTATAAAAGAAAACATTCTGTGCCCAGTGCATCAACGCAAATAACACTAGAGGCTAAGGCCAATACAGATCATTAGATCAGTTTATACTAACCATACTTTTATTAAATCAGCATTGTATGTTCAAGTCTATATACACACTTGCAACCTGCTGAATGGCCTTCGAAAGAGTGTCAGCCTAATATTACAGTAAAAAATATTTGTGCACTTGGACCTACAACATTATGGAAATATTAATGTTTGGAATAATTCATTAAAGGGTCCAGTGTGTAGGATTTAGTGGTATATAGCGGTGTGGTTGTGTAGTGGGGAGGTGGTTGTAGCAACTCCCTTGCTTCAACCCTTTCCCTTCCAAGTGCGAAGGAGAAACTATGATGGCCGCAAAAAATGTGAATACCCCCATCGAGAGCCGGTGTTTGGTTTGTTCTGGTAGAAACATGCCGGTTCAACATATCAGACTCCATGGAAGGTGACCCGCAGCACCTGTAGTTATTAAAGGCTCATTCTAAGGTAACAAAAACATAACAATCCTTATATTCAGGTGATTATACACTAACAACAATAGAGTTCTATGTATTATATTCAATTCCTGCCAATAGATCCTCCTAAATGTTACAAACTGGACCTTTAAGTAATGCAGCACCAGAGGGAAGCCATTGTAAAGTGTTACCAAGTCATCTAAACAGCAAATGTTGCCTTTGTCTATTTCCAAGGTAAAACATTTCTTTACCACTGCACTTGTAGAATGACATACCCATACTGAGTACTCTTAGCATTCAACTGGAAACCTTTGAAAAATAAATTAACAGAAATGTGATAAAGACCACCCTTCTTGCCTTAAATAAGTCGGTTTAACATCTGTAAATAACTGAACCCATCTGAGCACAAACCATGCAGCAGTGTGGAAAGCCACGTGCAATGAGGCATAATGGTATCAAAACAGTCTTAATCTGATTAATGAATCAAGGGTGACACATGCGTAGATTAACTGCAAAAGGCACAAGGACACACGTGACAACTGAAATCTAATAAATTGCATCACATCATGCATGTTCCCTGTTTAAACTCATTATGAATAACCTCCCTCACTACAAATGACGTGAGCTGCAGAGGAGTTACAGGTAAGTGTACAGTATCTATAAAACCATGCAGACATGACACAGAAGAGACAGCGAGGGGACAAAAGGAAGAGCAACACAGCTTACCTGCAGAGCAGCCTGAAGTGAGTAGAAGTAGAGATGGGGGGGAAAGAGCAGTAGTAGAGGAAAAGAAGAGACAGTTGGTTACACTCCGTCAGCCAGACGAGAGAGAGAGCAGTGGGAGCGAGGCAATATAAAAATAGCATCTAGATAAATTGAGGGAGGGTAGGTGGAGGATAGGTGCTCAAGGACAGATGGAAGTTGGAGCACGTACCATCACTGACCGAGAGCAAAAGGGAAGAGAGAGAGAGGACGAGAGACACAGAGGGGGAAAGGCACACACAAAAAGAGTAAAAAGCAGCAGATGGAAAGAACATTTCAGAAGAAGAACTACTAGCAGTTAAGAGACTGAAATGAATGTCACTGAGGCAGAGAAATGAACAGAAGTCGAGCAGACAACAGCTGGGTAACGGTCTAACAGATGTTGTCTGTTAATGATGCTGTGTGATGTACAATTAAAGCTACGGAAATTAATTACCACCTCATGTTGTAACATAACACCCCACATCCTGCTGAACTTCACATT